ACATAAATAGAATGTAAATATATCTCATCAATAAAATTCTTCTGTACGGGTGTATGATTTGATACTTCTCCTAAAACGGTTATTCTGATTTTGATAAATCTTTCTAAAGTTTTGTTAAGGGATTTTTTTAGGATTTTTTGAATTATAGAAATAAAGTTCGATAAACATAAATGATTAATATATACATTAATAGAATGTAAATATATCTCATCAATAAATTTCTTCTGTACGGATGTATGATTTGATACTTCTCCTAAACGGTTATTCGGATTTTGATAAATCGTTCTAAAGTTTGTTATGGGATTTATTCAGGATTTTTTGAATTATAGAAATAAAGTTCGATGAACATAAATGATTAATAATAGAATGTAAATATATCTCATCAATAAAATTCTTCTGTATGGGGTGTATGATTTGATACTTCTCCTAAACGGTTATTCGGATTTTGATAAATCTTCCTGAAGTTTGTTAAGGGATTTTTTTTAAAAATTTTTTGATTTATAGAAATATAGTTAGATTGCAGAAATAAATGAAAAAAATTGACAAAAAACCGCTTATCATTGTTTGACATTGAAAACATTTGAACTGTCGCCTGCTGAAAATGTCAATTTACTTGAAATTTGAATTTAGCTTAATTATGAGCATAATGTGATCAATAAAATTAAAAAAAAAAGATCTAACTACAAAATTTTAAATAAGCAATTCATCAAAAAAATAGCATTAAATCGAATTAATGTTAATGTTTTATTAGTTAATTTCAGAATTTATATTTATATTTCAGACAAATTATAAAAAATGATTTAAATTTCCACTTGTATGAGGAAATAATTCGGTTTAGATTAAATATAAATAAATAAAATAAATAAATAACTGAATACATAAGTTGTATAACTAGCAAACTTGTGAGTTGAATTGATATAAAAATAAACAGCAAAAATCCTAATAAGTCTAATTCAAAGCATTCCTTTAAGCAATTAATGCACAAAGCAACAAAGCCCAAATAAATTTTTCAATAGCAAATAAAATTTCAAAACAAATTCAATTAAAAAATAAAAATTCTGTGCCATACCTCGTTACTGCTAAAGTCCTGCATTAAATGAAACAAGGGGAGGAATAAAATAAAAATTCTAGTATAAACTTTTAAGAAAATATATCTAAATTTTGATTGTTCTACTGTAATAATAATATTAGAAATTAATATTATTTGTGCAATTATTAACTTCCCGTAGGGTAAGTTATAGTAATCGCAAAAAAATCGACTCAGACTTACGTTTCAGGGGTTTCTGAACATTTTGGTATACCTTAGAAAAAATTGATGTATGTGCGGATACAAATTTTCGTCGACGATTGCGGGAACACGAGTTAACCTATTTGATTAATTAAAAAAACATTCGATTCCTATTGATGAGGCGACGTGCTGATTAGATTATGGCAAAGGCAGGTCTAGTCGTTTCGAAGAAACGGGGCAAAAAAAGCCAAAAATGGTTATTGATTTTTTACGAGAACCGAGCGTCCGATTTGTATGATTCAAAAAACATTTTATTTTTATTGACGAAATGAAAAACTGATGAAATTTTTGGGAAGGCTGGTCTAATGGTTTTGGAGATCCAATAAAAAAAAGTGAAAAAATACATTTGGTACACAAAAATGATCATTAGTCATATGCATATCAAATTATCACATATTTTATAAATATTTTAACAATCTTTCAGAGGTTTCTGAACATTTTGGTATACCTTAGAAAAAATTGAAAATTGAAATTTTCGTCGACGATTTCGGGAACACAGATCCACCGATTTGAATAATTAAGAAAATATTCGATTCGTATTGATAAGGAGACGTGCTGATTAGTTTTTGGCAAAGGCAGGTCGTGCCGTTTCGGAGATACGGAGCAAAAAGTGCCAAAAATAGTAATTCATTTTTTGAGAAAATGGAGCGTCCGATTTGTATAATTCAAAAAACATTTTATTTGTATTGACCAAATTAAGAACTGATCAAATTTTCATGAAAGCAGGTCTAGCGGTTTCGGAGATCTAGTAAAAATATTAAAAATAAATGCCATTTGGCGGTCCAAAATGATCATTAGTCATATGCACATCAAATTATCACATATTTTATAGATACTTTACTAGTAAAAACAAAGTTTGTTCACTGCTTATCAATGTTTATCCTTAATATCGCGGCGCGGCGCCTACGCGCTTCGAAATTTCGTTTTTACGTAGCTAACGTATCGCGATTGTTTTGACCAAATGTTCAAAATTTCCAAAATATATCAAAGTATAAAAAAAAATTATCATTTCTTTCAAAAATTTTAAAAATCTCAAAAATCGATTTTTCACAGAGTTCTAAAAGAAAGTTGAATCTTTTTTATTTTTGTTACGGAAAGTTCCAGCAATTTGCCTTAAGGCACGATGCCATGCACCACTAGTTATTATTACAGTATAACAATCATTACTAACAAATACTACATTTTTGTATTTAATCAGAAAGGTTAGTTTAAAACTTCTAAAGCCGCTAAATATTTTTCAGTAAGTATATTTAAGTCTACTATTAAAATGTTCAATGTGCCAAAATAATAAAACAGAAATCTTATTGAAAAAACACTATTCATTAAGTTTATTTTTTTACATTGAATTAATTTTAATCAATAAATAAATAATAATTTTAAAAAAATCTTGTTAAACCTCTAATTACTTTGGCACACAAAAAACATTTCTGTTTCATATTTAATACTAATTTTTCAAAACCAAAGTTTTAATTTATTAATTATAAATCACAATCAAAACTTCGGTCTCAATTTTGCTATTATCCTTTAGTAAACATGCTTTGTTATTTTTTATTAATTTAATATATGTATTAAATCATACCTTTTTAAAATGATTTAATGTATCTGGACTGCTTTCGCACATTTCTGTAATAAGGGTTACTCCTGTTATTAGTACACCTGAAAAAAAAACAGGAAAGCATTAATTAAATCAATCTAATTAAGTCTATTCTAGATACAATAGATACCCAAATTCAATATACTACAAATGTAGAAATACTATAGATAAAAATATAAAATAAACTAGTTGGTTTGGTATTTAGCCTTGAGGCAAGTTACATAAACTTCCTGATATGTGTAAATAATCGACTTAATCAAAAAAAAAGTGTAAATAATATACTTCATCAATTCTACTTAAAAAAAAAACGATAATAATTTTAGCAAAGTTTGACGAATTTTTAAAATTAACCTACTTGTCGTAAGGCCATAATAATACAGTAAGTTCTATAAGACCATGATGTATATCGCCAAAAAAAGTTCCATGAAAATCGGCTTAATTTTTTTTTCAACAGTTAATTACAAGAAAACGGCTCGGTAGATTTTTACCTAAAATTAATCAGCACCATTCCCAACTAATATCTTTCGAACAGTTTTTGATTTTTTTAAATCGGTTCGGTAGGATGAGCTTAAATGTGGACGAAAAGTTTAACACTTTTTTTTCAAATGGCAAAGAAACGGCTTGGCAGATCGTCGCACAAAACTGACAAACGATAGTACTCACCGAAATACATCAAATGGCTTTTAAATTTCTAAAATCGGTTCAGGCGTTTTTGAGAAAACGTCGATCAAAAGTCTAATTTTGACAAATGCCAAAAAAACGATACCAATTTTTGCAAACTTGGACGAATTTTTAAAGCTGAACCAGTTGTCGTAGGGCCGTAATATTTTAGTATGATCTAGAAGACTATGGTATCTACCGTCAAAAAAATAATCATAAAAATCGTCGAAATTTTTTTTTTAAAACTTTATTACAAAAAAAACAGTCCGGCCGATCTCTACCAAAAACTAATCAGCACGATTCCCAATCAATATCTTTTGAACGGTTTTTGAATTTTCAAAATCGATTCAGAATTGCGGGCTAAAACGTAGACGAAACATTTTTCACTTTTCTGCGATTTATAAAGAAACGGCTTGGCCGATCTTCGCACAAAACTGACAAACAATAGTTCTTGTCGAGATACATGGAATGGCTTTTAAATTTTTGAAATCGGCCCAGCCATTTTCGAGAAAACGTCGATTTACGGCAAAAAATCTGTTCACACACACACACACACACACATACTTTTTCCAAATTTGGTCTCATTCGATTCAGAATGGCTTGAAACGTCGAGAAAACATAAAATTAGAGAATCGGATTTTTTGATGAATACATAAACTTCTCCTTCAGGAAGTTAATAAATATAAAATACAAAAATACTTTTAAAACACCTTTGAACAAATATTTACTAAACAATCCAAATTATTCTATAAATAAATTTTTAATTGTATTATTTTAATCAATTTCTATACTTTATATAAAAAATTCTTATTTTTCCCTTACCATGATTCTTCTCACTCAACAAACTCCTAGTAGCCGGCAAAAAGATTTCAGTCAACTCCGGAACCCTCCGAAGCACCCTGAAAGCACACAGAGCAGCCTTTTTCCTAATATAAGCATTTGGAGACTTCAAAGCTCGTTCAACTTCCGATGCAAGATCTCTGGCCATTTCAGGACTCGCTATGGCACCCAATGTACACAAGGCTAAACCAACCACAAACTGCGTGTTGGAATTAAGATCACTGGAGGAAAAAAGATATATGTATTAATAAATTAAGAATAGGGTAAGTATTGAGTATTTGATGGTATTAACTTTTTTAAGCAGTTTGTGATTAACAAATGCACGTCTTGTCTTTCGTCTAATAAAAGCATGGCACCTAAGTATCCTATTCTTTTGTCGGTAAAGCGAGAACTTGCTGTTAATTTTAAACATTCCAGTTGTCCGAAGTGAGCAGGGTATCCGAGCATATGGATGTAAAGGAGTTTTGCTATGTTGCGACATCTGGAAAAAATATTACAATATATAAATGTATATCTTATATATAAAATTCTTTTGTATGGATGTATAATTTAATACTTCTCCTAAACGGTTATTTGGATTTTGATAAATCTTTCTGAAGTGTTTTAAGGGACTTTTTTTTTTAGGATTTTTGAATTATAGAAATATAGTTAGATTGCAGAAATAAATGGAAAAAATTACAAAAAAACGCTTATCATTGTTTGACATTGAAAACATTTGAACTGTTATTTGCTAAAAATGTCAATTCACTTGAAATTTGAATTTAGCTGAAATTATGAGTCTAGATAATATAAGACTATATAATACACAGGAAAAATGTAATGTCTACATTATTATTGCCGAAAAGAAGCTGAGATTTGCCAAAAATTAAAATAATATAAGATGCAGTCAACAGTATATGGTTTAGCAGATGGAAATTATATAATTCAGTTTATTAAATAAGGCAATAAGTCCAAAATTGCATATACATTATTCTTTTAGACTTATGCAAGTCGCATTTTGATTTGGTTTACTTTACTAAATTATTTAACAATACAAAAAAATATTTCTACTTATTGAAAAAATGATTCAGAATTTTGTTATGGAATATAAAATATTTAGCAAGTAGATCTTACATTGAAGGGCTAGTTTTTACTAATGTAAACATATTATAAAGTCCGGAATAAAAATTAAAAGTTATTTGAAGAAAACTAAAAAAATGTCCTAAATCCATATATTGCAACTTATAGAAATAATAAAGTCCGCATTTCAACTACAAATTATTCAAAAGTTCAATATCAAAGTGTATGAAACAGTTTTTACTAAATTTTAGTGAATTTATCTAGTTTATACTAATGTAAACATATTATAATATCCCGAATAAAATATAAAAGTTTTTTGAATAAAACTAAAAAAATGTCCTAACCATATATTGCAAGTTATGGAAATAATAAAGTCCGCATTTCAACTACAAATTATTCAAAATTTCAATATCCAAGTGCATATAACATTCTTAACTAAATTTTAGTGAATTTTATTTAGTTTTTGCTAATGTAATCATAATATAATGTCCAGAAGGAAAATTAAAAGTTATTTGAAGGAAACTAAAAAATTGTCCTAAATCCATATACTGCAAGTTACGGAAATAATAAAATCCGCATTTCAACTACAAATTATTCAAAATTTCAATATCCAAGTGCATATAACATTCCTAACTAAATTTTAGTGAATTTTGTCTAGTTTATACTAATGTAAACAAATTATAATGTCCGGAATGAAAATTAAAAGTTATTTGAAGAAAACTAAAAAATGTCCTAAATCCATATATTGCAATTTATGGAAATATATAAAGTCCGCATTTCAACTATGAATTATTCAAAATTTTAATATGTAAGTATAAATAATAGGTCATTCCAGGTTTTAGTAAAATTTATCTAGTTTTTACTGAAGTATATAAAACATAGCGGCCAGAGAAAAATTTCCAAGTTACTCAAAAAAATGTTAGAAAACATAAAAAATTTACACATTGCTGAATACTTGTCACCATTGCCATAAAAACATTCCTACAAGATATTTAAATTTATTATATAGGTTTATACAACAATTTTTCCTAACTTTTAAAATGTAATCTAGCTTATACTAAAGTATTTAAATAAAATGTTCAAAACAAATAGTTTGTTGTTTTCCTAAATATTTTAACTTTATGTATTGCTAATTATCAAAATACTAAACATACTAAATGACAACCTCTGTAAGGTCATCTAGTATATATATATATATATATATATATATTATATATATGTTTAATTTGAGTTTAATATTCGGGCGTAACATCAATAAAAATAGTATGAGTTTTTTTAAAAAATTTATTTATTTAAAATCCATACGTTTCGGCTAGCATCTTAGCCATCATTCAGTGGTAATCAAGTTAACTATAAAAATTAAAACTAAATAAATTATATGAAAGGAAATTTCAAGAAAATACAATAATAATAATAATAGTAATAAAACACTTACAATTTTGTATCCTAATATAGCATATGAAACCATTATTAATCCATGGTATGAGTATGTGCACATTGATAAGATATGTATTTTTTAACACAAACATCACAAATGGTAAAACACACTAATAATCATGATAACTTGACAAGTTGTCGAAACTATGTATTTACTCTTCGGAGTTTAGGATAGAAATGTCACAACTTTCTCAAAGTAGTTTTTAGCATGTGTTGATATTTTTTGGAAAATTTAAAAGGCGATGGGATTTTGTTATTTTTAAGGAATTTTGACACGCTATTAAGAAACCACGTGTTCGCTTCGTTCAGGGCCGTATTGTCAAAGCGTTTGTTTATCACTTTGTCGTTATGTAATTGTAAAAACACCCCTCAGCGAATCTTCTTTTAATTGTATTCTCTTCAAAATGTAAAATTTTAGGGTTAAAAAAATCGATATTATGATTAAAATTTTTAATATGCTCAGTTAACATTGTTTTAAATTGCTTGGGATTTTTTGAATTATTTTTGTGTTGATTAAGGCGTTTACTCAGGTTTTGGCTAGTTTCTCCAATATAAAAGAGTTCGCAATTAGAGCAATTAATTTGATATACCAAATTCCTGAGGCGGTCAAAATTGAACTTAGATTTCATTTGTGTAAAATTGAACTAAGGGTTGCATCACAATTACATACCAACAGAATGCCACACTGTTGAAATAGTTTTTTCCACGAGAAATATAAATCTTTACGTACGGTAGGCAAATGACACCAGTATATGATTCTAAGTCTAAACGGTTTTTATGGTCTGTGAGGTCTTTTTGTTTGTTGTTAAAAATGTAACTGCGTCTGTTATTTATGACCGAGTTGATTATGTTCGTAGGATATGAGTTGTTTTTCAGTGTGTTTATAACCAGGTCAATGTTCTTGTCCCAGAAGTTTTGTCAGATAGTAATATGGCGTGGTCTGTTAAATTTATTATTGTCGCTATTTTCATTTTAAGAGGGTGGTATGAGTGGTAATTTATGTATCGTCCGGAGCTAGTTGGTTTCTGGTACCAGTTAGTAAACTATTACTAACTGGTACCAGAAACCAACTAGCTCCGGACGATACATAAATTACTACTCATACCACCCTCTTAAAATGAAAATAGCGACAATAATAAATTTAACAGACCACGCCATATTACTATCTGACAAAAACTTCTGGGACAAGAACATTGACCTGGTTATAAACACACTGAAAAACAACTCATATCCTACGAACATAATCAACTCGGTCATAAATAACAGACGCAGTTACATTTTTAACAAACAAAAAGACCTCACAGACCATAAAAACCGTTTAGACTTAGAATCATATACTGGTGTCATTTGCCTACCGTACGTAAAAGATTTATATTTCTCGTGGAAAAAACTATTTCAACAGTGTGGCATTCTGTTGGTATGTAATTGTGATGCAACCCTTAGTTCAATTTTTACACAAATGAAATCTAAGTTCAATTTTGACCGCCTCAGGAATTTGGTATATCAAATTAATTGCTCTAATTGCGAACTCTTTTATATTGGAGAAACTAGCCAAAACCTGAGTAAACGCCTTGATCAACACAAAAATAATTCAAAAAATCCCAAGCAATTTAAAACAATGTTAACTGAGCATATTAAAAATTTTAATCATAATATCGATTTTTTTAACCCTAAAATTTTACATTTTGAAGAGAATACAATTAAAAGAAGATTCGCTGAGGGGTTGTTTTTACAATTACATAACGACAAAGTGATAAACAAACGCTTTGACAATACGGCCCTGAACGAAGCGAACACGTGGTTTCTTAATAGCGTGTCAAAATTCCTTAAAAATAACAAAATCCCATCGCCTTTTAAATTTTCCAAAAAATATCAACACATGCTAAAAACTACTTTGAGAAAGTTGTGACATTTCTATCCTAAACTCCGAAGAGTAAATACATAGTTTCGACAACTTGTCAAGTTATCATGATTATTAGTGTGTTTTACCATTTGTGATGTTTGTGTTAAAAAATACATATCTTATCAATGTGCACATACTCATACCATGGATTAATAATGGTTTCATATGCTATATTAGGATACAAAATTGTAAGTGTTTTATTACTATTATTATTATTATTGTATTTTCTTGAAATTTCCTTTCATATAATTTATTTAGTTTAATTTTATAGTTAACTTGATTACCACTGAATGATGGCTAAGATGCTAGCCGAAACGTATGGATTTTAAATAAATAAATTTTTTAAAAAAACTCATACTATTTTTATTGATGTTACGCCCGAATATTAAACTCAAATTAAACATATATATCAACATCAAATTCAAGACTATTCAAATATATATATATATATATATATATAATAGGTTGTCAAATATCTCCCTTCTGGCTTTTTGTATTATAAACCAAGAGCAAAAAAGCGGAAGGGAGATATTTGACAACCTAATATAACATATATATATATATATATATATATATATATATATATATATATATATATGTTAAAGAAGTTATTTTGATGTTGAGAAATATGAGTAAGTTCTTCAAGGGCAATACATCAAACAAAAGACAAAGATTTAGAAGTTAATCTTTAATTTTTCTGAACGTTTTGATACAGGATTTCATGACACCATTAGTTATAATTGTTGTTGTTATAATTATAATACTTGTATCTATAGTTCTTTTTCCAATTTCTGTCATTTTTTCCTAGTTTATATTAATTTTTCAATATTCATTCTGTAGATCCACTGATGATGACATAAAATACTATGTCGAAACGTTTGGAAAAATTAAAGATTAACTTCTAAATCTTTGTCTTTTATTTGATGTATTGCCCTTGAAGAACTTACTCATGTATATATATATATATATATATATATATATATATATATATGTATATATATATATATATATATATATGTATATATATATATACATATATATATATATATATATATTATAATTATATTTTGTTTACCTCCATGATGGGTCTTCTTCCCTAAATGTAGATCTTATATAAGCACACTCTTTATTCACAACCGTCCTTTCTTCAGCAGCAGTTCTTGCAGCACGTATCTGTCTTATCAGATCTCTAAGTCTCGTTGAGTTGGCATTCGAACTGCAATATAAGTGATACCAATTAGAATTTAGAATTTAAACTCGCAAAGTCAGTAAGTAATGGTAATCTTAATCATTTACCTCTTTCGACTGCTTCATTAATGGCCTGTTTGATTGTCGCCATATTAAAGGCCGGGTTAAACCTGTCAAATTCATGCTCAGAGTTAGTAAATTGCGCAAGCAGTAAACAGAAATGTCCAAGTGCTGATATATACAGCTCAGAGTGTTATTAACATGAAAAGCATCAAATCTAGATCTCATATTATAATTACCCGCTCTCCGAAGCGTTCATTTTTCTTTGGTTTTGTCTAAATTTGACACGACACACCTTTGAAACACTGTTACTTAGGTTAGATTGCAATCCCTTGGTTTAAAATACTTGTTGAGGTTTTGGAAATTTTACAAGCAATCGTTAAAAATTAAATCGAAACTAATTAACATTATTTATTCGTTTTAATACTTTCATATCACAACAGCTCACTATAATAACAAGTATAAAATTAGGCTTATGGTATGGTATATGTCAAATGAATAGTCTAATATTAAAAACAACTTTTAACATGGTAGTTGCACAATGTTATTGGTTGCGAGATTATTTCACATAATACGTTTATTTATTGTTATTGCGAGTGACATCACAGTACTTTAACAAAGATCTTTTTTATTAAATATTTAATTTTCGGCCATTGTTGTGAAACGTCATTGAGTTTCGGCGTGTGATTAGAAACGTTCGCCAACATGAGGAACGGAAAACGAACGAATGTCATTGAACAAAAAGCGCGGTAAATTCAAAATGAAAATAATTAATACTTGATTTAGGTTAAATTTGAAATATGTTAATAATAAATAAATACTTTTACCAATTTAGTGTCAGGAGATTCAAAATGACTTGAAACGACGAAAAAACATATTACAAATGTGATTTCATGCAAAAATACAGCCTTATTCTTCTGAAAGTTAAAATACGAGCCAAAATTTGTTTGCACAATATTATTGTTAATCATTGATTAATTCTTTATGTAAATTCGCAATAATTCTACTCCAGCATTTGAAATTCGTAAATAAATTAAAATTCGTAATAATATTTATAATAATTATTATTCTATATTATATATTATAATTGAATAAATAATTGTCGGTTTATCAAATATAAATATTAATAAGATCACCTACTTTTATGACATAAAACCAAGTAAAATCTACAAAGGCGTGTTATCTCCGTCTTATCGCCTTATCAGCTCAATATTTATATACCGTCGCAGCTATTTTGTTTGATAAAAAACAATTAATTATAAACGGAACAGATTTCTGAAAATAATAAAAAAAATCATTGCAATGCATACAAAAAACGCACAAATAAGTCTCTGGATTCTCTTGGACAAATAAATGGAATATACAGCAGAACTCTGTTAAGACGATCACGATTATTACGATTTATCGCATAATACGCCTTTGTAACCTTGATCAGTGTCCATAATGCGCCGCTATCGATAACATTAAATATAGGAGGGCAATATGTGCTCCTTCAATTTCTCGTTTGTTAATTTAATAGTATATTATTATTTTACACAAATTTAGTGTTCAATCAAATTTACATCATAATTAATTTTTTCTGTTGTTTTTTCTGGTTTGGTATGTATAATTTCCTCCTTTTTTATATATTTATATTTATTATCAACTTTGTATTTATATAATGTTTTTTAGATTACTGAATGATGACACACATCAAGTGTCGAAACGTTTAATGGAATACATAATTTTGTTATTTAATATGTTTTTAATTCGACGATTGGGCTGCAAAAATATTACAAATATGTATCGACGTCGACAAAACTATCATCATATATATATATATATATATATATATAATATATTGCACTGTGATATTTATAACTCAATGTTATTACCGATTGCTTATTTATTTTAATAATTGTTATAAAAATATGTTTAATTTGCAAAAATATTTATATAGTTATAAACGTCATTTATTTACTGATTGCGGATGTTGTGTTTTTTTACAATATTTATAAATTTATTTGTACTAATGATGAGATAAATAAAGTCTAGAAAAGTGTGAAGAATTTAATAAAAATATGCCTAAAAATAAATATAATAAAAAGCCTAAGTAAGGTTTTCCTGTTTAATAATTGGGTAAAGTCCTTAATAAAAAGTTTTTGTTCTATTATATATTTATACATACATACATAAATAAATAAATATATATATATATATATATATATATATATATATCTTGATATGATTTTCAGCCAGTCGTGGAAATAAAAGAAACAAATAAATACAAAATATTTATTTAAAATATACGTTTCGACACGGATTGTGTGTCATCATTCAGCAATTCTTTGTTAACAGTATCTAAAAAAAATTACAAAGATTTTTTAAAAAATAAACTTAATTTTAATTTAAAATAATTAAAAAATATACCATACCACAATCTAAAAAAAAATTTTACAAAGTTTTTTCACTGGTTTCTCGTCGTTGCGTTCGTTGTAAGACATGCAAGCATAACTAATTCAACAAGACTTATAATATAAAGTTAATAAATTTAAGAAAAATCATTAAATAATAACGTTCGTTTGCAGTCGTTGCGTTAATTATAAGTTCAGTTTTATAGAAAAAACTGTTCATTATATGTTAGTTTATATTTATTTTATTTTAATGCATATGTAATTTATTTTATAAAACAATGTGTTTTTTGTGTGTTATTTTTTCCTGGTGTGGTATGTATATTTTTTAATTATTTTAAATATAAAATTAAGTTTATTTTTAAAAAAAATCATTGTAAATATTTTATAGATACTGTTAACAAAGAATTGCTGAATGATGACTCACAATCCGTGTCGAAACGTATATTTTAAATAAATATTTTGTACTTATTTGTTTCTTTTATTTCGACGACTGGTTGAAAATCATAAAGACATGTCTCAACGTCGAAAAAAAAACCTAATTATATATATATATATATATATATATATTTATATATATATAGATATATATATATATATATATATATTAATTAATTAAATAATTTCAGCCCTTACCGTCTATTATGTTCCGGCGGCAAAACGCTCCAATCAGTCTCATAGTAAGGAAACATATTTACCAAAAATTTAAATAAAACTAAAAAAATATTTAGATATTAACAAAATATTTCTCCTCTTCACTAAAAACACTTTAAAAATCTTTTACACACTTCACTATCACAATCACAAATCTCATCACAATAACAAGAATTCGGCGATAACATAATTATCAGTAATAGAGTAATGGACTTATAATTTATTTTATATGCCTAATTATTAATAAATACAATTCAAATTGTAATTAATTATTATTTGAAATTAATTATACGTGTGTTTTTCTCACATTTTTTTTAAATTGTAGATAAAGTGTTCAGGTGCGTTGTGGCCGCTGTCTTATGAGTAACTGAAGTGATAAGCGCTATCAGGTATATTACAATACACCTATATAGAAATATATATATATATATATATATATATATCCATCCAATAATTGCAACTACTTTAATAAAATAAAATGTTTAATTGTCAAACGTTTCGGGTCCTGATTTGATCCATCTTCAGTGCTTATTTGTATGGAATGAATTGTTTACATATGTAGTAGTAGTAAAATTATCATAATTAAGAAAACTCACGTTGATGAAAATTAAAACTAGTGGTGTATGGCATCGTGCCTTAAGGCAAAATGCTGAAAATTCCCGCACCGTAATGAAATATTCGAGAAATTTTAAACGTTTTCAAATATATTATTACAAATACTGAAACTTTGTTATTTTTGCTAATATAAATATTATTATATCTTAACAAATCAAATGTAAATCATAAATCATAAATCAATTTATCTCCAGAAGGTTAACAATCGTCTTTTCATTTAATTTCGAATTCAATTTTAAAAAAAAGTTGCCTAATTTGCACAAAATTGAAAAAGTGCTCCCGTATAGTCACAATCTAAACGCATTTGCGACATTTTCACTTATACTGTGCTTAGCTTGGCGGCATTTCCACATTTTTCAATAGTTTTCATAAAATTGAAAAAGTGCTCCAGTACATAAACAGCCTAAACGCACTTGGCTAAACATTTGTACCAGAGTGGCGCTGAGACTGTGATTGGCCTGGGTAATTTTTTGAATTTTTAATCCAAAATTACAAAAATATTTTATGGAAAATAGAAAAAGATGTAATAATTTTTTATCTTCAGAAGCAATTGTTTTGTCAATACAAGCAGAAAGTTTTTTGAATAATTCAAATCGGACGCTTAGGTCACTCAAAAACTGCCATTTTTTGCACATTTAGCTCTGTATCTCCGAAACCGCTGGTCCCACCTTTGCCAAAAACTATTAATCACTTTTCCCCGTTTTTCTTTACGAACTGAATGTTTTTTGGATCATACAAATCGGATGATCCGTTCTCTCAATAACTCGATTTCTATTTTCTGCATCTGTGCTCCATATCTCCGTAACGGCTGGACCTGCCTTTGCCAAAAATTAATCAGAACATCTCCCTATCAATCACACACACATCCATTTAGTTTCTGAGGTATGCCCCTTAAAAATGTTCAGAAACCTTCAAAACGTCGAGAAATGCAAAAATTTTCATTTTCGATTTTCGGCCCATTACTACGGAAAGTTAATAAATGTAAAATGAAAGAATGTAAAATACTTTTTCTCAAATTGGGTCTCATTCGATTCAGAATGACTTGAAACGTCAAGAAAGCATAAAATTAGCAAATCAGATTTTCTGGCAAAAGCATCAGAGCTCTCCTTCGGGAACCCTCAAGTGTACGAATCAAAACAGAATGTTTACTATATAGCAGAAACTCGACTTTTATGACGGAATCCCTCCATTCAAACCTTCCTTAAATATTTTCTTATTGGGCCCAGCTTAACTTCATCAGCCGGTCCTCCAAAAATTTAATTGAATTTCAATTAATGTGCGTGATAATGTGTCAGACAGACAGACAGACAGAAATAAAAATTTATTCACTATATTGGTTACATTTTATGTAAATACAGTGAATTATATATGAGTTCTTCTACCCTAGGGTATCCTACCCAAAAATTTCTAGTTAACTTCCCGTAGGGTAGTTATCATAGATAAGTAAACATAAGCTAATTAGCACGTCTCCTTATCAATACGAATCGAATGTTTTTTAATTATTCAAATCGCTTCATCCGTGTTTCCGAAATCGTCGACGAAAATTTGTATCCGCACACACACACACATACATTCATTTTTTCTAAGGTATGCCAAAATGTTCAGAAACCTCTGAAACGTAAAGATATATAAAAATTTTGATTTTCGATTTTTTTACGATTACTATAACTTACTCTACGGGAAGTTAATAACACTGATGTTTCTTAGTCACCAATATAAAACATTTGACAATACTTTTTCATCGGCTCACTAGCGCCAAATTTGCGACTACAATATGTCCCCTAACTAAGAATCCTTCTGTACGCGTCTTTATCAAAAGATACTCTATGCTGGAAATGTCAACTTGAATTCGGAACGACTATAACCGTGTAATGTAAAGTGTTAATATCATTTGGAATAAACAGCTGGAAGATTTTCTACAAGTGCAAGTATATTTAGATTCATTATAATATTTGAGATATTTGAAAAGGATACCATACGCAGTGAAAATGTCTGAAGAAACAGTTATGGATGATCAGAAAATTAAAATTGAGCCACTAGAACTTTCAATAGAAGATGTAAAACTTGAAAATGAATGTGATTTTGAAGGTATTGTTAAGTCTGAATCATGTTTAGAAAATGATGAAACTTGCCTGGAAAGATTTATGAATTCCGAAATAACTATTGAAGAAGAAATCAAACATGAGGTAATTGAGACACCCGATTGTGAATATGAAATTGGTAATAGATCATTTTCAGAATCTAATTATTCGAAAGAGCACATGGTTTGACCACATACCTAGAAATGGCAAAAATGGCAACAATAAATGCAATGTATGCGATAAGACATTTAAATATTCATCAAGATTGAAACGGCACATGATTACTCATAGCACAGAACGCCCTATCGAATGCAAAATCTGTCATAAGACATTGAAAGAAAATAGCATTTTGAAAAGACATATGCTCATTCATACAGGAGAACGCCCTTTCAAATGCAAAATATGCAATCAGACATTCTTAGAAAAAAACACTTTGACAAAACATATGCTTATTCATACAGGAGAACGCCCGTTCAAATGCGAAATCTGTCATAAGACATTCAGACGAAAATCTAGTTTGAAATCACATATGCTTTTTCATACAGGGGAACGCCCTTACAAGTGTAAAATATGCAGTAAAACATTCGCACAATCGGGTGTCTTGAATATACACATGCGTATTCATACAGGGGAACGCCCTTTCCAATGTGATACATGCAATAAGGAATTTGCACATTCGAACAGCTTGAAGAGACACAAGGTGACCTGTTCATAATGAAGAACGTAATGAAGATCAATGAAATATTAACAAGCAGAAAGCAGAAATATCTATGAATTACTTATATTTTATTTGCATTGTAAATTTAATTACTGCTGTACGAATATTTAGTACTGTGAATAAATTTATATAAATATATTTGTTTTTATATTATAAGATTCACAGAAGGGATGTTTTAAAGTAATATAAATAAATTTGATTTATTTGAATTTGATATTTTAATATTGTTAAGGATTCTTTTAAAATATGTTTATTATCATTTTTGTTAAGAATTCGTTTTGAATATTTATATATTGACAATATTCAGAATATCAAAAATAATAAATAAATTTGCTTCTGAGATTGATATCTTTGGTCTGTCGGTGACAAATATAAAAAATCAAGCCAGAAAAATTATCCTTAAAAGACTGTCTTAAGTAGTGATTTATAGTTTATTAAATGTTTAATATTATTAGTTTTTATTCTAAGTTTTATTTTTTTTTAGTTAATATTACATGTTATGTATATATACAAAAGCTATTTATGAACTCTTAGTACTCCAGTTTTCTCATATATTATCTTTAGTTTATAATTTGTACACTTTAAAATGTTGAATAAATAAATAAACTAGTGGTGTATGGCATCGTGCCTCAAGGCAAATTGCTGGAACTTCCCGTATCGTAATGAAATATTCGAGAAATTTTAAACGTTTTCAAATATATTATTACAAATACTAATGTAACATTCATTATTTTTGCTATCTTGTTTGTTATATCTGAGCAAATCAAATGTAAATCATAAATCAATTTATCTCCAGAACATTAACAATCGTAATTTCATTTCGAATTCAATTTAAAAAAAAAAATAATTTCCTTAATAGTTACACAAAATTGAAAAAATGTATAGTCACAGTCTAAACGCACTTGGGTAAACATTTGTACCAGAGTGGCGCTTAGACTGTACTTAGCCTGGGTCATTTTTCGAATTTTTAAAAAAGATGTAATAATTTTTTATCCTCAAAAGCAATTGTTTTGTCAATACAAGCAGAAAGTTTTTTTAGATCATTCAAATCGGACGCTTAGTTCACTCAAAAACTGCCATTTTTTGCACATTTAGCTCTGTATCTGCGAAATAGCGAAACCTGTCTTTGCCAAAAACTAATCATCTCTTCTCCCAATCATTGCGAATAGAATGGTTTTTATATCATTCAAATCCGATACTTCTTTCTTCTTTCTGTCAAAAACTCGATTTGTATTTTCTGCACTCTTTGCTCCGTATCTCTGTAACGGCTGGGTCTGCCTTTGCCAAAAACTAATCAGCTCTTCTCCCTATAAATAGGGATCGAATGTTTTTTGAACTATTCAAATCGGTTGATCCAGCCCTAAAACGTGACTGGAAATTTGTATCCATACATACATACACACACACACATCCATTTTTTCTGAGGTATGCCAAAATGTTCAGAACCTTCAAAACGTTGAGAAATGTAAAAATTTTCAATAAATTTTATGTAAATATTTTAGACACTGAATCATCAAATAAGACAGTTTCCTCAGGTGTTCCACAAGGAAGCGTCTTGGGGCCAATTCTATTTTTAATATACACATCTGACATACCAATAACAACTAACACTTTGATCGCTACGTTTGCTGATGATACGTGCATTCTAGCCAGCCACATAGATTCCAGTCCTGCATCTGAGTTACTCCAAAACCATTTAAATTTATTAGAAAAGTGGAACAAAACCTGGAGATTTGAAATGAATGGCTTAAAGTCAGTACATGTCACATTTACACTCAGAAGAGAGACTTGCCCACCAGTAAGAATAGGAAATACTCAAGTACCTCAAGAAGACCATGTGAAATATCTCGGCATATACCTCGATAGAAGACTTAATTGGCGAACTCATATAAAAAAAAGAGACAACAGCTTGAGATAAAACCAAAAAGCTTTACTGGTTACTAGGAACTAAATCCAAACTAAGCGCATATAATAAGCTACTTTTATATAAAACTTTATTCAAACCAATTTGGTGTTATGGTATACAATTGTGGGGCAGTGCTCATAAGACCAATATAGAAATTATACAGAAAATTCAAAACAAATTTTTGAAAATTGCCTTAGGAACTCCAAAATATGTTTCCAACTGGTTGATTCATGCCGACACGAATACACCTACCATAAATGAAGTAATAACAAAAGCAGCACAGAAGTATAGAAACAAGCTAATCAATCACCCAAATACATTAGCAAACTCATTGATAACAGAAAACTATCGAAGAAGATTGAAAAGAAAAGCGCCACTGGATTTAAGCCATCAACTCTCCTGAGAAAAAAATGGAAATAACTTAATCATTATTTATGAGAAATTATTTAATAAGTAAATATTGTGAATTTTATATCGAAAAAACAACTACTGAGTTGTTTTTTCCAACATGTCAAAGTAGTATATAATGTACCTTTTCGTCGGACTATTGTAAATCCATTAAATTTACTGAATGTCCTATACTGGACAGTTGTAAATAAAAGAGTTAATAATAAAAAAAAAATCAATTTCGATTTTCGGCCCATTACAATAGCTTACCCTAAGGGAAGTTAAAAATTTCGTAATATTCTATGATATTGCAATTTTTGTTTAAAAAAAACCGCATGTCTCTATGATAAATACATTTCGAGA